GGTAATCTAATTACCGTTTTTGCAATAGTAATCCCTTACTTTACTCGTTACTTGAAAAAAGTAATCGGATTACAGTAACGCGTTACTGCCCATCTCTGGTCGCAAAGGTCAAATAACCTCAAACCGTTTTTTCAAACATGACTCAAACATCCCTCCACAATCACCAGATCTCAGTCCAACAGCGCACCGTTGGCATGTGGTGAAAAAGAAAATTCAAATCATGGAGGTGCAGCAGACAAATCTGCAGAAACTGCATGATACCATCATGTCAATATGGAACAAAATCTCCAACCCATTACTAGGCAAGGTGTACCTAACCAAATTCTGAGTGTATTTACTTATTTATTCGATGCTGTCCATTCAAGTGTTAAATTTCAGTAGTAAAATGAAACATTTATAAAGAATGAAGAAAATATTAGTGATGAACTGTCAGCCTAAAAACTGTTCCACATGTCCTTTCAAACGCAGACAAATACAAAATCACTCAAACATTAACAAACCTGTAGGTCATTGCCTCAATGAGGAATGGCTGGTTCTCAGCCACAGCCCTGCGCCTCGCTTCCTTTGTAGCGTTGTACACAGCAAACACATCATTACCATCAACACGAATGGACAACATGCCATAACCAGGACCACGAGCAGCTGTCAAAGAAAAAGAACCAGAGATGTGTGGATAAGAGCAGCTGGAACATCAATCAAACAGCAGCAGAAAAGTGGCAGAAAAATCACATTCAGCCTTACCGATGCCATCACCTCTGTACTGTTCGTTTGTAGGGGTAGAGATGGCGTAGCCATTGTTGCGGCAAAAAAATATCAGTGGGCACTCAAGGGTGGCAGAGAAGTTGAAGCCGGCATGTGCATCCCCTTCGCTAGCTGCTCCTTCCCCAAAATAGCAAATGACAGCACGGTTTGTGTTCTCTCTCTTGACTGCATACGCAGATCCAGCCGCTGAAAGAGACACAGAGCCACAAACATATTTACAGCTGTGTGTTTGTCTATCCTGCTTCAGGCAGCAGAGGTAAATACACAGGCGTGGAGCTCACCCTGAGGAATCTGAGTGGCCAGAGGAGATGAGATGGTGACAAAGTTCAGATCTTTGCAGCCATAGTGGACGGGCATCTGCCGGCCCTTTCCGAGGTCATCAGCATTGGCGTAACACTGAGCCATGAAGTGATCCAGAGGAAATCCTCGGTACATCAGCACTCCTGTAATAGAAGATGTGTCGCACGATTTCTCACAAGACAAGAGAACCAGACCGACTGAAGGAGCAAACAGTGGGGATATTAAAATAAGGACTGGAGACTTGGGAACCCTTTTTTTTGTTGTGGTCAGTTTTTTTGAATGTAAAACAGATTTGTGTTTTACATTAATAATAATTTCAGCAATCTTCCACTCAGAATTTGCTCACGTCTGAATCCTTATATTGATGCTATGATTATTATTCCTTATACTGAAGTGATGATTGTTATTCTCTCACTGATAAATACAAAAATCATGGTGAATAGAATAGTCAGAAGAGCACAGGAGGAATGTGATTATTGTGCACCACATCCCTTTAGCTCAACTATCTAACATGCTTGGAATGATCTTTTTATAAGGTAGGCAAGAGTCTTATTACTTTGGTAAAACCTTAAACTATGAGAGGGAACACTGCTGATGCCAGTTAGCCTACAGCTGGTATTACTGTGTGGCACTGAGGCAAATAGTTTTTGACTCACTGGATTTTATTAATTTGACTAATCTTTGGAAACCAGATGAACTCGGTTTGTAAGCAATAAATATTCTTGTTAAATTCTCATATAAACAAGTTTTTTTTCTGTAGTAATCATTTGACCATACTGCAAAGTAATTTGTTCAGTTTCAAATGTTGTCTGGAAAACATTTGTGATAACAACAACAAAAGGAGATGTAGAAATGAACACTGAAGTGGTCAACTGTTTTGATTATAATTAAAATGTTCATATGAACAATGGACCAAAAAATAGAACTATATTAGTTGGGGGAAAAGCCCAAAGGAAACCACATTTCATTCTTACCAGCTTCTCTGTATTGCCCAAAAACCAGATCGTTTGGATCCAGAGCAGCAGCACTGCCGATGTGTGTCCCCTCCTCACCATAGTTAGTCATGTAGAAGGAGATCCGACCCTGTAACGGACAGGGCTGGACGGTTAATCAGACTGTAATCTCAAGTATGATTTTTTTAAGCAATTACGAAAATAAAACAACTGGGAAAAAATAATGACTTTTGCATTAATTTTACCTGAAAATCGTTGTGTTTTGCTGTTATAAATCAAGTGCACCTCTTTCTTTTACAGCTATTTGGTGTCCTCCCTTCATAAAAACTAAAACTCACTTGCTGTTTAGTTCAGCTCGAGCCAAAATGACTAAAGACTTGTATGGAATAAAACTCGTATGGTTTAGTGAATATCTGCTTGTGTCACAGGATCACTCAAGAGCTCTCACTGGATTTCTTTCAGTAATCAGCAACAGTTGGCCTTTAAGTCAAAAACACTCCCTAGTCAGCGCCCAACTTCCCTATGAGATGGACCTGTGTCCTCGAGAACCCCTATCTAATTTTTATGCATTCATTTTTAATTTTAAATTATAATTAACATAAAGAAGCCCTGCAGCAGACTGGCGACCTGTCCAGGGTGTACCCTGCCTCTCGCCCTAAGACGGCAGATAAGTGGAGATAGATGGATGGATAAAGAAAATACCCTTTGAAACACCTATTTTTAAGTTCAAAAACTGCTGGTGTTGTGTTTTAAATAATCAGGTTGAGCCAGGAAATGCAGGAGGAAACATACCTGTCTTTGAGACTCATAAAGAATGCGGTCCATTGTGTTCAGCATGGTCATCTTCTGATAAAAGTTCAAAACTGTCTCTTTGGAGAGCTGCATAGAAGAGAAACACATAATCTAAAAATTAACATCGGCTCAACAGACTGCAGGGGTCTTAGGGGCACATTTGGGAACCAGGAGCACAGGTAGGCTGATTGTACCTGAGGGTCTTGAGAGGGGTTGATGATATTTCCCTGCCTGTCCATCACTCGGTACACTGGGATCCCAGAGATGACATTGGGCTGGATGAACTCGAGCTGATCCACAAACTCGGCCGAGGCTCCTGGAAACTGGGGCTTTTCCAGCGAAGAGTCAAAGGTCTGCTGCAGCTGAAGAACCTGAAAGGATTGAATACAAGCATTATTTATTAACAATCTCATTGTGGCTGTGGCAAAGAAAGGCCCTGGGAAAAGCAAACACAGCATATCAGGTCACACAACTAATGCAAACTGTCAAGCACGTGGTGGAGGGGTGATGATTTGAACTTGTTTTGCAGCCACACAATCGTGAACTCTTCTGTATCCCAAAGTATTCTAGAGTCAAATGTGAAGCCATCTCTCTGACAACCACGGGGTCATGCAACTGGATAATAAGCAGCAAATCTACAGCAGAAAAATAAACAATTCAAGGTGTTCCAATGGCCCAGTAAAGTCACAACCTTTAACCTAACTGAAATGCTGTGGTAGGTCCTTAAGAGACCTGTGCACAAACAACTTACCTGAATTTCTATTGTGTGTATACATATATATATTTTATATTTGTGTTGCTTCATTTCATTTTGCTCTTTTTCCCCCCACAGGCTTGTCCACCAGGACTTTGAACTGCATTAATGAAATGCATAAAATTGAATTATAAATTAAGTTTGGTGACTGATTCTTAGTTTTATTATTTATTTTATTTTTCAAAAGGCTAGTTTTTATTTTAGGTAACTTTTTTAACATCTAGTTTAAGTTTTTAGTTTTGTTTTAGTTAACTATAATAACACTGGTTGAACCTTTAGAGGTTTTAGAAAACTTAATTTCAGAAAAATGAAGACAATACAATACAGTGGAACCCTGACTTACGAGTACCCCATTTAACAAAAAATTCAAGTTATGAAGGCACTTAACAGCAATAATTCTGCCCGTGTTACGGCAAAATGCAAATTTTCGACTTGCGAAAGACCCTCGGGAACGAATTAATTTCGTAAGTCTGGATTCTTATAAATGAGGAAGTGATTAAGTATGTACTCCTTCCAGTGCAGTTCCATTGTTCCGCTGTAACAACAATTCCCAAATCTCTTTCCCATACAGATTTTAGAAACTCCACATGAGATTATTTTAAAGTGTCACATCCAGATTTAAGTGCTGGAGCGATCGAAGGAAATAAAATAGCTGTGAAGGACATACAGCAGCAACAGCAATTAAATAAAGTTGTTTTGAAAAAATGATGCATTCGAGGACATCGGATTTCCTCCTTCACGCCCCTTGGTTCGACCAATGGAGAAGAAGCTAGCTAAGCCTTTAGCCGGCTGGCTAACTAGTCCAGTGTCAGAGTCAAAACAACAAAAATTAAAATGAGTATTTATTGCAACAATATAAGCAAAAGTTGTTTAGTAAATGTCAAACATGTATTCACTAATTATGTGAGAGTTAGTCTGACTTTTCACGGATACACTGGAGAATCGGTATAGCATTTCAGCAAGGTTGTTAGCGGCTCCGTAGCTAACCAGAATCTTTGTGCAAACAAGACCTAACCCCAAAACTTATTAAAAGATTCAGTTTATTTTTAACAGTATTTCTACTTGATTGAGTTAGACGATACTCTTTCGTGAGCCTTGCTGTATCCCGGGCTCTTAATGACAGTGTTATCTCCAGTCCAGCCTCCCATAATTTATTCATTGCTCAATCCAAACAGTGAATGAGAGTTTTCACTTACAGATACCCTGAAGCCTCTGCGCTGAAGCAGTCGATATGCCTTCAGTCCTGCTGTCTGACGGACAGCGTGGAAACAGAGCCCATACATTTTGCTCATGCTGCTCACAGCTGCCATCTGCACACTCAGTAGTTGTTTGATTTAACCGCCGCCGTACACCAGGTAAGGAGAAGTTACACTGGTGGATATGTAAAAATCTGGCCAACGGAACTGCTAATAACCACCACTCGCTGTCCTTCCTCTTTTCATCCACAGTTTACAGGCCGAGAGCCGCAAACTGATTGAAACATTACAGTCGGCTACAGTATCCTCCACATCCGCTCAGGCCTTCAAAATAAAACCCTAAAATGTGAAGCAAGAAATGCTAAGTAGCATTTAATCTGTAAGTGTAGTTCTGCCGGAACTAACTACGCTCCTTCACCCTTTCCCCCCACAGGTGAGGATTTAAAAGATCGTTTAACGGGAAGAAATTTAGTTGTCACTTTTTACGTATTTCATAAGTTGAAGAAATGATTGATTAAAGCTGTCGAGATTTAACACTCTTTTGTGTTAGAATAACAATAATAATAAATAAATGAAAAATGCGTGGAATTCCCAGGAAGGCAGAGTGTCAGTTTTATGAATAAAGCCCACCCCCACCCAGCGAGGAACCAAACGAAAGAAAATCCAGTGAGGCAGACCGACCAATTAAAAAAAAGACACTAACCATAAAGAACGACCCTGGTCGGTGGACTACGGCCATCTTAACCGATCAAAACCAATAAAAACCAATATAACATACAGAAACACTAACACACACAAACGAACAAAAATTAACAGTTATTGCAATATGATATGTAATACATCTTACAGAAAGAAGTAAAAGTAAAAGAAAAAAATGCTTTGCGTCGGCATTTACGCATTTGTCTTTTGCACATACAGATCAGTTGTAACACACGTGAAACAGTTTGTAATAAAACAGCGCTCCTTTGGACGAACTCAACCTCAGATGTCAGGTATACCTATACGTCTGACGATAACTGGTATTAAAGAGACACGGGGCAACTATGCCACAGGAAAGAAAGAAAAGGAGAGAAGACACAGCCAGGGAGGAGAGAGCCGCAAGCAGTACGGAAGAACCGATGAATAAAGTCGGACAGCTGTTCTTAAATTCAGTCATAAAACAACGATTTCTACGTCCTTTCAACCCTACCAAAAATTAAATCCTACTCTGCTGCCATCTTGTGGTCACATTGCGGTACTGCATTAATAGTAAAAGCAGCGTCAGTGGCAAAATAAAGAATATTGTTAGTTCCAGTTCCGATGATAAACCAAGTAATATCGCAGGTATAACCGTTGACATATTAAAATAAAGTATTTTAACTACTTGTCAAAATCTAAAAATGTCTTCGTTTCAGTTCACAGCTAACTGATGACGTAAATACAGACGGCAGATAAACCAATTTTTGCAGCCACGAGTGTTTATCGCCATCCAGTGGTAATAGCGGAGACTGCAACATGGTGGTTGCAATTCAGACAATGCCAGTGAATGATCACCTGTGAAAAGGAGTAAATAAACTGATGTAAATAAAATTCTGGTGGGTGGTTATGACCAATAAGGGGAGAAAATAAAAGGTTGAACCCGTTGTGTTTAAATGCGGCTGCTGTCTGCCCTCTAGCGGTCATTGTGATTAACTACACTAATATACAGATGCTGCACTTCCGGTACTTTCAAAATACATTAACCATATTAACGCAAAATAGGGCTTCAGATTGCGTCAGGAAAACGTGAATTATGATGAAAAATATTATTTATTCTTCGTTATCATAGAAATATATTACAGATCCACATTTCTTGTGAATTAACTATTTATTACAGCCAACATTTCTTTCTCATTCTGATGTCATCAGTAAGGAGCCTAAACTAGAGGGAAAACAGATGACGCCATCCGCCTGCGACAAACCTGCTTTCTCCACGATGGAGGTCTGCGGATCTCTGACTGTTTCTTTGAGAGAGTTTGGTTGTGAACAGAGCTTGCTGTCTCGAACTGATGGCTCTGCTTCTTTCGTCCAAGGTAACACTAATTTTAGAAATCATTTATCTGGGCGTTTATTTGCCTCTAAACTGGACGTAAAGGACGGAGAAACGTTAGGGAAGTTAACCTGCCACTTCAGTTAGTGACATGAATTTCTTTACCCTTATACCCAAAATAATATAATAATGAGAATCAGGGGTGCATCTTTTATGCTGGCGTGGGTGGCATGGGGTGGCATGGAGTGGCATGTGCCAGCTTACTTTTGCATATGACAATGTTGTTTATTAAAATAAGGTAGCATTAACTTTGAAACTAGCTACAACTAATTAATAAAATAAATATATTTATTGCATAGTGTTAACCTCCCTCCAGGGGCGGATCTACTGTGCACATTTTAAATCAACAACATGGGCATTTCAGATTTCAACACAGGTGGTTTATTGTTGAACATCTTATTAACCCTCTGAGGCTTCCAAATCACATGACCAATTTAATATGACATAGCAACAAGATGCATTCCCACTGAGTCTCCATTACATTTTTATTTGTGTTGAAAGTTCAAACTATATAACAAGAAAAGGTAAAAACTGGATTTTCTAATGACAGCCCGAAAAAACAAGCCACCACTTTCCTATTGGTGGAAAAATGTACCATGTTGACCAATCAATAAATGATATGGCAAGGCAACAAGAGAGAGATCAACTGTGAGATGTGAGCAATTCCACAGTCATTGGATGTGAGAGGTTTGTGACATTTGGCGTGTTTGGAGTGTGTAGTTAATGTATAGTTAGTGTGTTGTGTAGTTCTTTGTTTTGTTTTTATGTGTCAAAATAAGGCCACAATCAGGGTCCATCATCAGCCACCAGGCCACAACCAGGCTCCATCAAGAGCTAGTGAAGCTACAGGAAAAGGCAGGCGCAGGTTAGCAAAACTCAGGATTGATTGGGGCTGCAGTAAAAAAGGGGCACAAGTATTGAGAAGATGCTGCCTAAAAGACGTAATGTCAATGAGGAGGAACTGGAGGACATAAAGAAATCTTTGAACTTTATGTCAGAAGAAATAACAACCATTGCAAAACAACAAAAAATAATAATCAACTTAACTGAGGATATTAAAAAATTAAGAAGGCAAAGTGAGGAAAAGGACAAGAAGATTGCTATGTTGGAAGGACGAGTGGCAGAACAATATTTGAGAATAACAGATGTGATAGTAACGGGTCTGGAAACCAAGCACCAGACATATGCATGGGCAGCAGCAGAAGAGAGAGGGGAGCTGCCTGAGCAAGAGTTGCGCTCCCTGGAAGAACAGGCAATGGGCTTTTTCAAAAGTAAAGGCATTGAAATGGATAGTAAGGACACTGAGGAGTGCCATGCTCTTCCAAGGAAAAACAAGAATCAAAAACCTGCCATTATTATAAGATTTATTAATAGGAAGCAGAAGAAAGAGCTACTGAAGAAAGTTGAAAGAAACGAATGTGTATGTTAATGAACACCTAATCAAGAAAAATGCAGATATTGCAAGATAAGCAAGATTATTAAGAAAACAGAAGAAAATACAGTCAAACTGGACAACAGATTGTAAGGTGTTCATTAAGTGAAATGGAACACCGGAGCAGGCAAAGGTCTTAGTCATTAAAGAGCTGAGAGAATGAGAAAAATACAGCTGATAAAATGTAAGGCAAAGCATTGGGATGGTCAATGACACTTTCAATGCACTGTCAAACTGGTTGGTGCTTGTCTGAGACAAAGTATTGTTAAAGGTAATGATGTGTGGATAAGATGTAGAATAAAGTCAGATGTTTGACACATTTTAAGTAACAAATCAAATGGAAAGTGGGATACTGGGGTATGATAGCAATATAGATACTGACTGTAATTTCTTACCAAAATGTTAAAAGACTGTAATTATTATACAATGGAACAATTTAATAGGAACATAGAGCGAGGTAAGAATATAACAATGGTTCGTTTTAATGGTAGAAATCTATATGCAAACTTTAATTTATTAAAGTATATTTTACACAGTTTAATCAACCATTTGATGTGATAGCAAGATTATTACTCCAGAATGATTCAGAGATGAGCCCTGTGACAGACCAGCATCCTGTCCAGAGTGTACCCCGCCTCTCACCCTATGGTAGCTGATAATGATAAGCCTAAAATGGATGGATGGGTTGGTTCAGTGTCGTGAAAAAAATATTGTGGTGCAAGAGGAAGAATAAATGTGAAATTTACACGATGAGACTTTGTGTCATTTAGAAGTATCACATCAGCTTTAGTTCTCTTATTAAAAGCTTGTTCTAAATAGGGTGTCTGCGCTTAAGCCCCCCCTTTAAAAAATACATGTGCTGTGAGCACATTTACTGGGTGTCGTACTGCTTTAAATGATTTGATGTTACTACTTTTCCCCTCCTAGATGTCTGTTTATGTGGGGAAAGACATCATTAATTATCCAGTGTTATTTATTGAATAATGCTCCTTTTTGTTCTTGTCTGAAGGAGACACGAGTGTGATGGCTGGAGTGTACGGACCAGCTGAGGTCAAAGTCAGCAAGGAGATCTATGACCGGGCGACCCTGGAGGTGCTGGTTCAGCCCAAAGTAGGGCTGCCAAGTGAGTTTTTTGGGGGGTAAAAATTTTCATTATGTAGCATTGCTTCTTTTATTTTGGGGAAGCTAATGTGAAATAGACCTTTTGCATCCTGATATCTACAAGAATGTCTCTGAGGTTTCTGCTGTGGAAAAGTTGCTATGCCACAGCTGACCACAGGGTGGGGTACGTGAGCTTTCTGCTCGCATTCATTTTTTTATACCGAGATTTGTTTGTTTTCTAGGTGTAAGGGAACGATCGCAAGAGCAGTGTGTGCGAGAAACCTGTGAGGCTTCTCTGCTCCTGACGCTCCATCCACGCTCCTCGCTCACTCTCATCCTTCAGGTCCTGCATGATGATGGTTCAGTATCCTTCTGTAAAACTCTGTGCCGCTGCAAGCTTTGAGGTTTATATCCAATCTGCAAGTAGGGCTCTAAAATTGAGATGTTTTCTGTGAGTGTTCTTCCTTACCTGTTCCTCAGCTGCTGTCTTGCTGTTTGAATGCTGCATGTATGGCTCTTATGGATGCAGGATTGCCCATGAGTTGCCTCTTCTGCGGAGTGACTTGTGCCATCAGCACAGATGGGCAAATCATCACAGACCCCACTGCAGCTCAGGAAAAGGTAAATTTAAGACTTTTAGAATGATGGGTGACAAAAATCTTCCCAAAACACTCTGATGGTGGCTTTTGTCAAATTTCATGAGAACTTTTCAAACAAATGACACAGAAAATATAGGTCTTTTTCATCCCACCATTGCTAAGTGCTCGTTCATAGGGCAGGGGTGTTAAACTCATTTTATGCTGTGGCTCAGATACATCCCACTTTGACATTAGGTGGACCATACCAGTGAAACTTTTTTCTATCAAGAAGTTCAATCCTTGAAATATCTTAATATAAGAAAAAAAAATGCAGTTTGAACAGTATGTTTCAGTTTTTCTACATAAAATGATAATAAAGAAAAGCTGTTGTAGTTACTGAAAGACTCTTCAATAGGATTCTTGAATAGAAATAAACTGTAAGGGCTTAAATTGTAGCAAATAAATGTTTATAATTACACATTACTTAACTCAGTGTTTCCAACCGCTGTGCGTGGAAGATTATCTGGTTATCTGGTTCCACCTGATTAGTAATGGGCAGAACCATTATAATCTCTTCCACTAGAGGGCAGTACAATCACCTGCTCTAATTAAATTGGTTGCCAACTGCCAGTAATACAGAAGACGATGAAGAAGAAATTACATAATAGTCATGCTGTGAGATGATGCAGCCCGTAATAGCAATACATAAATATTTGAAAAGAAAAAGTAGACAGTCTGACCTGGGTCCTGGAGGAAATACTGACCCAGATAAAGGCCCGAGCACGAGTAGTGCTCAGAAGAAAGCAAAAAAGGCATACTGGCAACAAACCAAGCCAATTCCTCTATACCTGGTGCGGGGGGAAAAATTATCAACATGCTTTTTGTGACATTTTTGTTAGGTTGTGTGCCGTGTGATTTTTATATTTTAATTTTTTTCAAATCTGAAATAAGTGCGTGACTCCAAAAGGTTGGGAAAAACTGACCTAATTACTTTGGTTTAGCTTGATTAGCCATGTAATACGTCTTTATCGGTGAAGACAAAACTGTAAAACTTATGAACAGTCCATTTACACCTTCTTTCATATTTTCCAGTGCTGTCCAGTGGGGGCCACATCGGAGTCTTTCCTGGGCCAACTCTGGCCCCTGCCCCATATGTTTGACATCGCTGTCATGTAATTGTTGGGATGTTCTCCTGAATACTGTGTTGTAACTTTATTGCAGTTTATTGTTTGATAACAGCATTTGGTTATTTTGTAAGTGATTTAAGTGTTAGTCACATGTTTAGTGAGAGCTGTTAATTATAGATTTAATTTTCTGCTAAGAGCGTTTAACAGGTATTTTCATTAGAAAACTGCGTTTCCCAGAATCCTTTGTGGTAGACGAAAGTTACTCTGGGTTTTAGCTAGCAAAGAAAGTTTCGGGAAGCCATTATATGTTGCTCTGATGTCGAGAAGTTTATTTGTTGTACATTCCCCTTTTTGAAGCCTTATATAAAGGCTATCGTTTCTACAACTGATGTCCGATCCATTTTTTTGGCTAAGTGGATTCGCCACAACATACTGCACTACTTGAGGCAACTGTGGAGGAAGTTGTATAAATAAAAATAAATTGAATTCAGTTAAATGACAAAGAAAAACAAAACTAAAGAATAATCAGTCAGGAACGATAAGGCAAGCACAGCGATCTATAGTCACCACCAGCTAGAGTATTCCCTTTTTTGGAATATCTTACTGTTGTCTCCAGCGCATCTGTTGTCACTTCCATTTGTATCAGTGGTAATGGTTTTGCTTCTAAGACATCGTCTTAATTTCCTTGCTGAATTTCATGGAGCGCCCGTGTCTTGTTTTCTCTCTCAAAAGGAAAGTCGAGCTTTGATGACTTTTGCGATCGACAGCGCAAAACGCAGCGTTTTGATGTCGTCGACCAAAGGATCGTTTTCAGTGCATGAGGTCAGTGGATTAATGACTAGAAAAAAAGTGTGTGCACCATTTCAAATAAACAAAACTGTGAATGCCAAGCCAAAAAAGACTTCTCTAAAGCGTGCTTCAAAGAGAAAAGACTGGGCATCCCTTGTAGAGGCTGTTTGTAGATGCTGCCAAACCAAGAATACATCCTAAAAAACATTTTGGACTTTCTGCAGTCTTGATAACAATATCATGGAGTATTTTTTTTCTCCTGTTACCCAAAAGGACCATAGTTTCTGGAAATTTCAGGGGGTTTATTTTATATTGCTATTGATCAATCATGTTGAGCAGCCTTTGGTTGAATGCAGCTATCTATATGAAGACTAAAAGAGGGACAGCATTTATCTAAGTGCAAGCTATAAATCATCAGCTGATGTGGTTAGACAGGAAGACTGGACTCAGATGAAACTGTCCCATGGGTTCCTGGATTCCCTTTTGATCAGCGGATGACAGGAATGAAAATAAATGTTGCCTCTATAAGAAATATCTACTCTTTTGCTTCATTTTCCTGGAGACGATCCCATGGATCGAAACATGACCTCTTTAAGGACACTTTCAGGGAATTGAATGGAAAAATCAAATGGGATTCCCTTTTTTTTGACTGAATAACAAGTATTATTCCAAAAACACTATAATATGAGGTTTACTCTGGCCCACCTACAGGAAACCAGTATGCTGACTGGGTACTGACTGGAGGGGTCATATTCTCCTTACTTTCCTGGCTGCTCTCTACTGTCCCATCGGAATAACACACTCCCTGCCAAAATTTAAAAAGAAACACTACAACGTTGTTTAGATTTGTGATTCTGCTTCATGTGTGACTTTTTGGAAAACGGTTCTTATTTTTGCTCTCTCCCTGTCTGCCTCAGGTCTGATGTGACTTAAATCAGTTGTTGTTGCATTTCATATTTTGTCTGATCCTCAGTTGTTGTTTTTCTTCTCTCGCAGCTGCAGCAGTGCATAGCAGTCAGTCAGAAAGCATCAGAGAAGATCTTCCAGTTCTACAGAGACTCTGTCAAGCGGCGATACTCCAAAAGCCTATGAGAAACACGGAGCTTTCTTTTGCCTAGTCTTTTTTTACTTTTATTTTAACAATGCATGCAAACACTGATGTCGTAATAAAATATTTAGAAACCCCTGTGGGTTACAATTTCTTCAGTTCAGTTGTAGACAGCTGTGCTTCATGGTGGGAAGGCTTGTATGAGTATATTTGTGAGAGATCAGAAATGAAAGGAGGAAAGGTGAATGTCAAACAAGTGCATTTATTGGGATTTGCTGATTTTCTTTCACTTTAATATATACATTTAATACAAGGATGTGACCTGGGGAAAAGAAAAGCCCTGAATATTTTTTGTAGTAATAAATCCCATTTGCTGCAACCTTTGAACTTTACTGACTCACACGTTCAGTGTCCGCTTGTTGTCTGTACGAGTGACACAAAGCGAGACGAACCTGAGCAGAGCCTGTCGCACGACAGCCTCATCGTTCGGAGCAATCCACGTGAAATGCCTCCACACAAATCAATAATTGACGTAACTCAGCTGTAACAACAAAGTGTGATTTGTTTTTCCTCTATTAAAATGAAAGTACAGTGGAGACAGACGGTAGTTCAGGATTGTCAGTGTGAGGCTGAATCACAGCGCGACAATGAGAGAGCTGACAAGGGCAAGACACGGAGATACCAGAGGTTGGTCTACTAAAATCTGTTAAAAGTGATCTATTACCAGCTTTGAAACAACACTGGGATTGCAGCAAACATAGTATTTTATATGTACTCGAGCTGTGTGCTCTATAAAACTATTTATCTAAATAGAAAATGTCAGCTTCCACCATAGTCAATTCTTTATATTTACTTGGATACCCCCCATTTACTATGTAGTTAAAGGCTCAGAGCTTTTTCCAGTCAATTCTGCAACAATGTTGGTCCAATTGAAGGAAACAATCAAAGTTTGCAGCAGGAAACCAACAAGCTCACCATGCAGGGTTTTCTTATGACCAAACCTGGGATGTTATTGAAACATGCATCACAATTTTTGCAACTTTTCTTGGCCCATTTAAATAAAGCATTTGTGTGTTTTTGAACAGAAGTTTTCAGTAGACTTTTTTTTAAAGTCAGTCATACTGCAAGAAGCACGCTCCTGAAGATGTCAGTTCTATTTTTGGTGGCGAAAATAGCAGAATCTATATTTAAGGAGCATGGTGTGAACAGCCTGGCTGCTTCTAATAATGGAATAGCTGATAAAAGGATCATCCTCAGAGTTTCTTCTGTATTTTTGGCACTTTTTCCAGCTCTTTCCTCCGCTGTATATGTTATGATTTCTTAACCCTGTGTATATATAGAGGATAACATTTAATGTCTATATCTTGAGTCCATTTTCTACCTCCGGGTTTTGCATTTAATTTTAAAAGTCGTGAACGTATTTTCTTATACCAGCAACTACACTCTGTGCGTTAGTTTAGTGTTTTGTGTATTTCAACATGAAGATAATGATTCAGTTGGTATAAACAAAGCAGAGGCAGTCCTTTCTGTCAGTAAACAGTGACTGAAGCAGTGTGAAACCAGGATGAGCTTATCGATGTTCACGTGCAGCATTTCCCTCGGGGTACCTCCCGTCAGCAAGGAACTCTGGGCTCTCCAGAGGACTATTGCTTCTGGCTCATCGTATGTTTTAAAACATCATCACCAGCTTTCACCCCTCAAGTGACAGTGCTGGCTCAGGCCCTCCCACGGTGAAGTCCATCGGGATTTATCTGCTGCCACGTCCTTGCTGTGACCTCTCATAAATCTGCAGACTCCATCTAATCGTACACTGCCCTCCACTTAGCTCCTCCCAGGCAGACAATGACACATATCCCCACTGCTTCTTATTATTCATCCATTGTTTGTAATGCTGATATCTACAGTGCTGTGGAAAAATGTGAATTTCTGTTTTTCTTCTTTTCTTTACTTCAGTAATGCTTCACATATGATGACAACTACAGCACAGATTTAACAGAAGGTAACTTAAGTCTTCAAATCACTAAACAAGTAACAGACTGCTTTTTCAATGATTTTTCTTCATGTGCTCAGAACATCCTTTGAGCTGATTTTTCTTTTTATAATCCCGAAGCGATTATAAACGACACGCCGGCTCCCAGCTTCTGTTTTCAGTGTCGCAGCTTTTCAGCTCGGTGTAGATGAAACGTGACTTCAGACAAGTCGACAGACAAACACTGTGATTATTTTGACATTTAACGGTGATATGTTGGCATGTGTTGATCTTCATGAAATATGTGAGAGGTCAGTCTTTTGTATGCGTGTCCGTTTGAAAGAGTCGCTTTTATGGTGGTTTTGCGGACAGGTAAGAAATCAACGCAGCGATGGCACAGATGTACGTTATGATTCCAAACACGATGGAGAGCACCGAGAGCCAGAGAGCCTGGCGAGACGCTGCGTTGGCACCCTGAAAATCCCCCTGAGCCGATGCCTTGTTGGTCTGAGTAAAAGAGGAGACGAGACACTGAGATAAAGATTAGAGTGAAAAAAAATAGGAGAGAACAGCATTTATCATCATTTGTCAATGTCCTCCCTGGCCTACACTTTCCTCTTCCACTCATTCCAATCTCACGCTAAGCCCATATTATGTTCCATCTCCAAATCACACCCAGCGATTGCAGCTCATTCATCATTTTCTCCTCCTTCCTTCCTTCCTCTCTCCCTCTAGTCCTTGCCTTTGACTCTGACCCCTGTTTTAGGCAGCACTCAACAATATTGGAAATCTATCACCTTGAGGTTTCTTGTTATGACTCTAATTAAACCTTAACGAAGGCCATTGATCTGATCAAAAGGCCTTTGCAGCATGCTGCCAGTTAGCTTTGCAAAAGTGTTAATGGGATTTCTTTCTCCCCTGCACTGCTGGAGGGATGAGTTTATAAAATAAGGGAGTCTAGAGATATTTGTGTAAGGGGTATTTTAATACTACCATAGGTAATTGTGGCTAATAAGTTCTTTTTTTCTTTTGGGTGACCAGTCATCTGACTTCTGAATAATCAGATTTAATAATTTTATCCTGTTTCTTCTGTGGTGAGGGGCCAGAGGTGTTGGCCAGATGAGCGCATGGATAGGACGAGTAGAAAGACAGCCTGGTACATTTACTTAAGCGCTTTAATAACACACAGTACTTTATTTAAATATTTCCACATTAACATCAATCAATAAGAGCAAAATTAAAGTGATATGCACAACAATGAGTCAGAAATTATGATTGAGCATGTATGTGATTCTAAAAAGTGCCATTTAACATAATAAGCACATTTAATCCTGGAAATAGCCTCGAAGGGAGGGTAGACCCCGGACAGATCGCCAGTCCTTTTTGATTCAATTTATTTCTGTTTACATTTTGTATCTGTTAATTCAATTATCATTAAATATGTGGTGTGCAGATGCTGAACACTTATAGGACAAAGTTGTGTATGAATTTATTCATTTTTTAATGTGGTATCCTGTTAGATTTCTGCTGGACTGGATATATCCCTGTTGAAAGGCAGACATTACACATATTATAGTATACATATGGTAGAAAGAGTGACTTTATTATTCAATAAATGTAGGCAAAACACAGTACATGCCCCTTAGCATGTTGTTTAAACCAGTGAGCTCCAACGAGCAGTTTTTATGCGCTGCAATGAAATATTTATGTAAATATTGATTTAAAGACAAAAGTACAAGAATACTATTATTTCTTCTTCTTAGTTTTGTCATGGCTCTATGTATTGCTTGATGCAAAGGTTGTAAATACATCTTGTCACAATACTGACATATGCATGCCCATTAAATTAAGCAACACGTAATGACAAAGATGCATAAGAACAGAGGTCAGTGGGGTTTTTCAAGCTTGTGTCTTCAAGAAATCAATGTGAAGAAATCTGAGTTATGATACCAACAGAGACCATATTATAGACAACTGTGATTTGGATGTGATCTAAGTGTTTGCATCTAAAGTTCTCAGCTTTGTACTATTTCAGAAGTGTGATTCTGCAGGTGTAATCTCCTTGTCACAGCTCTCCTCCATAAATCCTTCACTTGCACAACACTGAAGAACTGGACTCGGTGATCGTCCACACATACTGCAGAGGGTAAAAACTCGACCTCAGCTGTGAACGATAGAGCCAAGTTGTATCTTGTCTGCTCAGGACTGAGGGTGTGTCTGTGTGTGTGTTTGTGTGTTCGTGTGTGTTCGTATACCTTCTGTGAAAGATAGAAGGCGGCGATGCCCAGGGGCCAGAAGCAGCAGAGCATGGAGAAAAAGGCCAAACCCAGGTAGTCCTGAGGGATCATCAGAGGGAAGTTGTTCTCACTGTCTGTATCACTAAAATCATCGATGGATGAGTCCTAGGATTCAAACAGAGTGCGTTTAGGTTGAGTTCAGGATAGAAAGCGATAACATACATTATTATAAAGAAATACTTTTAGGGTGATTTGTTTTTGTTTGGGCACATTTTCAGATATTTGTCTGTGAGAGTTCAGCCTTCACAAAAATGCAGTAGGTATTACATTAATTTCATTTTCCTGCAAATGAAAATCACACTGAAACTTTTCAAATGTAAGGTACTGTGCAAGGACGGTGTGAGAAGTGAATAAAAAAACATTTTGACTCAAAGACGTTTGTTTCAAAATGAGTCTCAATAAAATTTGTGGGTTAAGAGAAAAACTGAGACTTTGTTTCTAGAGAGGAATACATATTTCTGAAGATCCATTTCATGGATCAGTACTGCTGCAGCCCCGTCAACTTCCTTCAGTTTATTTCATCAAGGTGCCAGTGCACAGGTGCATAAGTAAAAACCAACCTTGCTTTTTTGTCATTTCTAATCTACCTCTTTGTGTCCATCTAACAAAGATATGATGATCTACTCCAACATTAAGTGAAACACGCTGTTTCTCTTATGTTCAAGTCATCCACAACAACTAAAAACTTTGCTTGTGTCTGAAAGATAATGTGATTGAATGGGGTTAGTCTGGATATGCACTAGCTCTGCTGACCGCGGGGCACTTTATGACTCATGCATCTTTTTTGAAACAGCTGCATATTGAGTCTGACTTGCTCTCTCACAATGACCCTGTCATACCACTTTGGTCATTTTACTTTGTGTAAGAAATAGTTGTACAATTCCAAAAAAAAAGGCTTTTGTTATATTTTAGTAACTGTTCTGTAAACCAGCAGCAAACATAGACATAAAGTGTTTTTTTTTTACTAAACAAGATAATTAATTTAAAGCTTGGATCACAGGGCTATTTCTATTATGCCTGTTCTATTGGTCAAAAAAATCTTTCTATAGTTGGGAAGTATTTTTATTAGGGGTGGGGGGAAAAATCAATACTGTATAGTATC